CCGTGTTTGAGTGCGTACTATTACAGTGTTTTAGGGATCGTTATACAGAACACACATATCACTTACCGTGTTTGAGTGCGTACTATTACCATGTTTATTAGGGATCGTTATACAGAACACACATATCACTTACCGTGTTTGAGTGCGTACTATTATCGTGTTTATTAGGGATCGTTATACAGAACACGCATATCACTTACCGTGTTTGAGTGCGTACTATTACCGTGTTTATTAGGGATCGTTATACAGAACACGCATATCACTCACCGTGTTTGAGCGCGTACTATTACCGTGTTTATTAGGGATCGTTATACAGAACACAGCATATCACTTACCGTGTTTGAGTGCGTACTATTACCGTGTTTATTAGGGATCGTTATACAGAACACACATATCACTTACCGTGTTTGAGTGCGTACTATTACCGTGTTTATTAGGGATCGTTATACAGAACACACATATCACTTACCGTGTTTGAGTGCGTACTATTACCAGGTAGATTTGGAATCTCATTCAGTATTAAGTGTTCGTTCCCGAATGATGGCATTTTGAATTCTAAAAAACAATATTTTCCTCTGAATGATTCTTTTGCTTTCATATTTTTGTTTTCATTTCCTACAGAAATATCCAAACATTCGTTGTAGGATCCCATGTCGGCCATAGTGCCCGTTAACACTCCTCCAGGGATCTTGCCTGAGGAATCGATCACTGTAGGGGAATAATTAACTAATTAGCATAATCTAACACAATACAAATTTGACATTTGTTGGTACTTATCTTAAAATAAAATCATTGTTTGAAGGTTTCATTCAGTGATCTATTTTTTGTTGATCGTGATTAGACACTACTTGACATTAACTTTTAAATGAAAAAGCCGATAATTAAAAACAACCGTTAAGAAGTTATGTTTTTTTTTAAGCATTTATATTTTCATAAGTGAGCAAATATATATACATATTGTAACATATGTAGCATAAACTGTAAATACATGCATAAATATACATACAGAGAAGATACGGGGCAATTTATGCTATATTTATATCTTGGTAGTACTTTTTTCAAGTAGAAGTCGAGTTCTAGTCAATGCTTCTAAAATAGATATTTTAAGAAGTTCATACCACTTGAGATAAGCGTTTTCGTACTTTGAACAATTGCATAAAACGTAGTTATTTATATACATACTCTTGTTAAAACAAGTATTTAAAATGAGGTCAGATTATAGAGGTAACAGTAAATAGCTAAATGTGTATTGTTCAAAATATCCCCTTCCAAAAAACAAAAACAAATAAGACTAAAAGTATGGCATTATACAAATTAAGTTAAAAAAAATTTAGAAAGCAGTTCCGTTTATTCTAGGAAGATTGGAGTTCTTGTTGCAGTTACAGAGAAATAAATAAATCCTATAAACAATCATCCTTGGACTAGTAAGTCAATTAATTCCCATCTTTACAATAAACCACGAAAATTTGATTAGACTGGTGAACAGACAAAACTGATGAATAGTGGCAATAACATTTCACACTAAAATCAAATCTGTATATCAATATATATATACCAAGCATTAGTAGATATAGCATAACTTCTAGGGTAAAATGTTTTTGAAAACTCACTTTTAATGGCCCATACTTCCAGTTTCCGCAGGGCAAACACTGTCTTCATAATCGACGCTGAGCATGTGGGAGACAACTTGACTTTGTGTCTGTTACGTATAAAGAAAGGCAGAGCTCGCTTTAACGCTAAGTTGAGAGAAGTTTTCAACGTGTCTTCAACCTCTTTGATTTCTTTTAGGGCACTGTACTGAGTAGTAGTAGCAGGATCCTCTTCAACTTTATTTGTGTTCGTTGGTTTTTCAAACTGTTTTTGTTCGTCAATGGTAGATATAGAAGCATCTTTGCTGTAGGAAACGCGACATAAAATCGCAACCAAAAATATTAAACGAGAAAGATGACAGTTTCCCATTTCCATTTATCAACCACCACGATACTTGAGAGAGAGTTTTTAACGCTTACGGTGCGAATTCCTAGCTTACCAACCAGTGTAAAATACCCCATCCACTTGTTTGGTCCTCTTTGAAACTTTCCAACGTTCATACATACTTGCGCAACGGCCGTCTAGATATGTTGATCCATTGGTTGCGTTCGTCTGTAAGAAAGTTAGTTGACCTATATAAGTAACAACCCATACAACTTCCCATCAAATAGTATGGCGGTTGTATTTAAAATAAGACAGGTTCTAAAAATAAAAACGTAATCTCACTGAAACGTGGTGTACTTTTAGTTCATTCCAATCTAAATACACACTGAGTATTTGAAACACCAAATAACAAAAAATCCGTAACCTGACATTTTAACTAAATAATCGAATTACACATTCTGAGGGCCCGGCATGGCCAGGTGGTTAGGGTGCTCGACCCGCAATCTGTGGGTCGCCATTTAAAAAACAGAATACATTAACATGAGGTTTATTATTAAAAACCTGTAAACAACTTTCCGATATATGCTAGACGCTCACGTTGTGAGAACACTAATCACATTAACATGAGGTTTATTATTAAAAACCTGTAAACAACTTTCCGATATATGCTAGACGCTCACGTTGTGAGAACACTAATCACATTAACATGAGGTTTATTATTAAAAACCTGTAAACAACTTTTCGATATATGCTATACGATCACGTTGTGAGAACACTAATCACATTAACATGAGGTTTATTATTAAAAACCTGTAAACAACTTTTCGATATATGCTATACGATCA